TATAATCTCCAAGGGTCCTGGACCTCCAGGTCCACCCATGGCCCTGAGTTAAGAGAGTTCAGAACCTTTTAATTGTGTGGATGTTCTGGAAGGGCTTTCCTAGCCGTGACCAAGCATCCCGAGCTGTGTCGGATGCACAGAAGCTGGAATGATTGGCAAAGCATTTTCCCAGGATGGAAGCCCAAGGCTCTGGATTTTTATGAAGCTCCCTCATAGCCAGGTTGAGCTGCTGCTCTGAGCATGGTCAAGTTGGAGCTGGAGAGGAGCTGATCAGCCTTTCCTGTGGTCCCCAGATAGAGGCACAGGACAGGACATAGCAGTAAACTGAGGGATGTGAGATGCCACTCCTCCCAGCCCCTGCCAGTCCAGGTGGGGACATCAGAGGTCAAGGTCCACGCTTACGACATCTCCACCTGGGGACTCAGGAGGCCCCCTTCTGAAGACCCTCTTACCAGGTTTATAATAATCCCCCGTGGGTCGGGAGCCGCATAGGCCACCGAGAGGGCGACGAGCAGGAGGATCAGGATCTTCTCCATGGCGAGTGGGACAGCTGGTGTGGGTGGCACAAGACAGAGCCAGCTGTGGTGATGGGGCTATAAAAGAGGCCCTGACCTCACGTGACCCACCTGTATCCCACAGGGCGGACCGTGGGCAGAGGCACAGCTGTGGCCAATCTGCTGGGGGGTGGGTCCTGATAAGGAAGATGGGCGGGTACCTGATGGCCTTTTGAGTGTGTGTGTGTGTGTGTGTGTGCATGTGTGTGTGTGTGGTGTGTTGGTGATAGTCGTGTTGCATCATGGTTAAGAGTGTGGACTGTGGTACACTTTTAGCTGTACAAGTTATTAGTGAGGGAAACTTGCTGACTCTTCCAACTATTATTCTGCCTTTCATCTTATCTGTCAACTAAGGATAAAGAGTTGTGAGGGTTGAATTAATACACATTTATATATGTTACAGATATATAAACATTATTGTATACAATTATAAGAATATATTTATGCTGTGTATTCCCATATGCCACATAAGCAGTGGGTAAGGGCAGCTGCCCTTGTGTCCCAAGCTCCTGGGCAGTACCTGGATGAGTCCGAGGCAAGAGCGGCACCTACAGCATGAATGCCTGCTTATACTCTGTCTTCTTGGGGCCTCTCTGCCTCACCGTAGTCAGGCCTTGCCTTTGGCTGACCCAGGCCCAGGTGTCCATCTGTGTCAGACTCCAGGGCTGGGGCTCCCAGACTTCCATCCCTCAACCTTCCTTCAGTTTCCGTGGGGGAATCCAGGGCAGGCCCAGGTCCCTGGGGCTGACAGCTCTGCACCCCCGGCAGGCCAAGGTGTCACTCTGGCACCCTCCCCTGTCCTCACACCAGGGGGCTGCCTGCAGGAGTGACTCAAGGGCCCTTAGGAGGCCCTTCCTACATGTCTCTCGCCCCTTTCCTTTCTACCTCACTTATTATCTGCAATTCCAGCATCAGACTCCCCTTTCATTAAGGTATCCACTCACGCTGTCCCCTACCCAAGGCCATGTGTGCGCATGAGCAGTCGCTAGTCCTGGCTGAGAATGAAGAGGTCTCGTGATCCTCAGATGGAGCAGAGGCCTCAGGAAGCTGGGAAAGGCACAGGTGTCTGAGTTTGTTCAGGCATGGGAACAGAGCAGCTTTTCCTGAAGGACTGGTCATGGCAGCCAGAGGCCCCTGCCCTTCCCATCTCCATCCCAGGAGATGGTAGACAAGACAGCTCCACTGAGAGGCACAAATTGGGTTGCCTCAAACACAGCATTTTTTTAAAATTTGAGACAGAGTCTTGGTCTGTGTCGCCAGCCTGGAGTGCAGTGGCACGATCTCAGCTCACTGCAACCTCCGCCTCTCAAGTTCAAGTGATTCTCTTGCCTCAGCCTCCCGAGCAGCTGGGACTACTGGTGCCATCAAGCCCAGCTAATTTTTTTTTGTATTTTTAGTAGAGATGGGGTTTCACCGTATTGGCCAGGATGGTCTCGATCTCCTGACTTCATGATTCGCCCCCCTCAGCCTCTCAAAGTGCTGGGATTACAGGTGTGAGCCACCGCGACCGACCAAGCACAGCTTTTAATTTAATTTAATTTAATTTTTTGAGACGAGGCCCTACTCTGTCACTTAGGCTGAAGTGCAGTGGTGCCATCTTGGCTCACTGCAGCCTCCACCTCCTGAGCTCAAGCAGTTCTCCCCCTCAGCCTCCCAGGTCTCAAGGTCCTGGGTTCCAGCAAGCCTCCGAAAGTGTTGAGGTTGCAGGTGTGAGCCACTGTGCCCAGCCTCAAGCACAGCTTCAATCCAGACCAAGCTGGCTTCAAAACTGCATTTACTAGCTACATGACCTGAGACACAGTATTGAAAATGAAGCTCCCTGAACCTCACTTTCCTGATTTACCTTAGGGGAATAATAACTCCTACTTCCTGAGGTCAGGATTAAAACAATGTATGTGAAACCCCTTTGGAAGTGCCTGGCACATGGCTGCATGTAATATGACCCCCTTCTTCTCATCTTTATATCCCTAAGGTGTGGAATGTAGAGGAACAGCTGGAGAAACAGCCAGGAGACCCTCAAAATGGGAAAAACCCATTTGGTTCCACTGATACAAAAATGCACCCTGGCCGGTAGGGTTTTTTTTTTTTTTTTT